ATTATTATTTTATTATTATTCTGTACGATTAAGGCCATAACAGCAGCAGCAGAAGTCACTAATTGATGACTACAATTAAAAATCTGCATAAATCATTCACCCTCGTCGTTATTTCTCTGTCTCGAACCTGCTGGAGTGACTACTCATCCTTGTTAAGCTGGGTTTACACTACCGACTTAATGTTGGCGAATTGACGAACTTTCCAACTATACAACTGACAATCGGCAGTCTAAATGCAAAAGTCGCGCGAGAAACTCGTCGATAGCTACTAGTTGGGAGAATAGAACATGTTCTATTTTCACCAACTAGGCGTTGCCGAATTGTGAAATTGGTCCAACTCACCAATTCGCCAATATAAAGTCGGTAGTATAAACCCAGCTTATATTCTCTATCTTGCTTGTAGGCTTACCGAATCTACAATACTTGGATGGGGGATCCAAGCAAAATGGTGCTATTGGAAGCTGTGACGAAGACCATCAAGCTGGGAAACCTTCTGGAGCTGGCGGCGGAATCCGGCAACATTCTTCTCAGCGGGCTCAAGGACCTGGCCGTGAGTATAGTAGAGAGAGAGAGGGGGAGAGAGAGAGGGAGGGGGAGAGAGACACACAGAGGAAGAGACAGAGAGAGAGTGAGGGGGAGCGAGGGAGAGAGAGAAAGAGAGCGAGGGGGAGAGAGGGAGAGAGACAGACAGACAGAGAGAGAGAGAGGCGGTGAGAGAGAGACAGAGAGAGAGAGAGAGACACAGAGAGAACGCATAAGAAAACGAGACAGAGACAGAGACAGAGAGAGAGGGAAAGACAGAAAACACGCTCTAAAGACACAAACGTCGCATTGAACTCGCGCAATTCTATCTCACATTCTTCACCGCCGCGCATTCTCTAATCCGGCGAATACGTCGCGTGTATTGCAGAAGAAGTACCCGCGTGCGTGCAGCGCGGCTCGGGGGCTGGGCACGCACTGCGCGTTCGACTGCGACACCGTGGAGAGACGCACGCGTCTGCTGGACGCCGTGAAGTCGCGAGGTGAGCGTGTTCATGTCATCATTCCATGTCCAGTTGTCATAGTGTGTCACCTGTCATGGTTACCTTTCCTAGTTGTCATGGTTACCTTTCCTAGTTGTCATGGTTACCTTTCCTAGTTGTC